TCGATGGCACTTAACAACAACAACAACAACAAATCTGCAATGATATACAACCTGCTTCTTCATTAAAATGAAGAAGACTTGAAGCACTTTCTGATGAAGATCAAAGAATACAGCCTTCAGTATGGAGTACATCTCAATAAGAAAACAAATCTTCACAACTGGACCAATAAGCACATCATGATAAATGGAGAAAAGATTAAAGTTATCAAAGACCTCATTTTGTTTGGATCCACAATCAGCACCCATGGAAGCAGCATGAAATCACATAATGCATTGCATTAGGCAACTTAACCGCATAAATCCTCTTTAAAAATATTTAAGAGCCAAGATGTCACTTGAAGGATAACGTGTGCCTGACCCAAGCCATAGTATTTTCAATTACCTTATAACATGAGAAAGTTGGACCATAAATAAAGAAGACCTAAGAAGAATTGATGCATCTGAATTATGGCATTATTGGCAAAAAAAAATAATGAATAATAAACCATGGACTGTCAGAGGAATGAGCAACTATGTCTTGGAAGAAATATGGCCAAAATGCTCCTTAGAAGCAAGACATGGTGAGACTTGGTCTCACATACTTTGGACATGCTAACTAAGAGGGACCAGTTCCTGGAGAAGGACATCATGTTTGGTAAAGTTTGTTGTTGTTGCTCTTAAGTGCCGTCAAGTCAGTTCTGACTCATAGCAACCCAGGATAGGTTTTCCTAGGAGCAGCTGGTGGGTTTGAACAGTGGCCTTGTGATTTGTACTTCAGTGCTGATCCTACCTCGCCACACACCAGGAGTATAGGGTAAAGTATAGGATCAGTGAAACAGAAGAATTGACACAGTGGCTTCAACAATTGTCTCAAATAACAGAGACTGTGAGGACGGTGCAGGACTGAGCAGTGTGGTTTACAGGGTCACTGCGTCTTAACTAACTCTATAGCACCTAACAACATGTCAGTGATTATAATTACGTGTGATTAGGGTTTTCTTTATTACATTAATGACCCACATTAGTGTGGAGTGTACCTTGTGGCAACCTCGTTTGAGATAATAAATGAGATTAAACAACATGCAGAGATGAGGGAGGCGAGACGCCAAGCCACATGAAGATTGCTCAGAAGCACAAGCTCAGAAGACAAGGAGCTGGTATCTAAGAGAATAAATACTTGGTTGCTGAAGCCTTGGCCTTGTGTATTTCAATTAGAGCAGCACTATGGAACTAAGGCACCTGGGAAGTCTAATTCCTTAGGACCATGACACTTGAACTAATACAGAGCAAGTGCTTAAAGCCCTTTTACTATTGCTCCACCTCCTCATAACCATAGACGCTCTGCCCTTCTTTGTTGGTGGTCAGCTTTGACTCCCTAATGGCCTCATGCATTGCCCCTGAGAGAACTATAAAACGTTTTTTGTTTACCTGATCATTTTTTTTCCTTTTCCTTATAAGGGTAGAAGAGTCAGAGAAACAGTTCTGTTCCATTCTGGAGAAGGGCAAACGGCCAAGGAGTTTGATAGATTTGTGGTTGTTGTTAAAAGCTGTTGAGTTGGCTCCAACGCATAGCGACCCTGTAATAGGGTTTCCAAGGAGTGGCTGGTGAACTTGCACCACCAACCTTGCGGTTCAAACTGGCTTTGCAGTCCAGGGCATTAACCCACAGCGCCACACCAGGACTCCATCTCCCCATCTAGTTTGTTGTTAATTGCCACTGAGTTGGCTCTGACTCATGGTGACCCCATGTCCTATAGAAATGTTACTGTCCTGTGCCATCTTCACAATTGCTGGTAGGCTTGAGTCCATACTTGATATCACTGTGGATTCTGAGTGTCTTCCAACCTAGGCGCTCATCTTCAAGCACTCTATGGGGCAATATTCTGTTATGATTCATAGAGTTCTCACTGGTTAAGTTTTGGAAGAAATTCACCAGGCCTTCTGTGATAGTTCAAGTTTTGTGTCACCTTGACTGGGCCAGGATTCTCATTGGTTTAGCAGTTAAGATGCGGTTGTCCCCATGATGAGTTCTAATATAATATAATCAACTCTACAATGAGGTCTGCTATGAGCAGCCAATCAAATGAAAGGGCGTAACCTGCTTCCCATGTATTGGACATTCAGGCAAAGTTTACATGCTCTCTGCTGGGTCTGGATCCTGCATCTGACTAGTCCTCTGACCTCTGGTTCTTTGGATTTGAGCTAATAACCTGCTTCTTTACCTGCTGGTCCATGGAGTCGTCAGCAGCCTCACTTCTTACCTGCCAGACCTACCTGCCTGCTTGCCATCTGACCTGCCAAACTTGGTTCAGCAGCCCTGTAGCTACGGGAGTAAGAAGCTTCCAGCCTAATATCTAACCCACAGACTTAGGACTGCCCACCTCTACAACAGTGTGAGCCATTTCTTGAGATAAATCTCCTGCATACCTACATATACAAGCTTCACTGATTGTGGTTCTTGAGAGAATCCAGGTTAAGACACCTTTCTTCTTAGTCTGTCTTAGTCTGGAAGTTCTACTGAAACCTGTCTAGAATGGGCTATTGCGATAGTATTTCATGTATTTGTAGCATAGATTGCAGCATCACAGCAACACACAAGGCATCACAGTATGACAAACTGACAGACCCGGGCTGTGGTTCTCATTTATAAACCAAAACCAAACCCACTCCACCACCATCAAGTTAATTACAACTCTTAGTGACCCTACAGGACAGACTGGAACTGCTCCAACGGGTTTCTGAAGCAGTAAATCTTTATGGAAGCAAACTGCTTCATCTTTCTCCTATGGATTCAAACCAATGACCGTTCAGCTACCAGCCAATGTTTAACCTACCATGGCACTAGGGTCCCTTGCAGCTATAAAATGACAGTATTAACAGAATCTATTTCTTAGTACGTTAGAAGTGTAATCTCCCTAGGTTATGGCATTTGAACTGGTTTAGAATGAGCTCTTAAAATCTCCTTATTAAATCATTCTTTAAGCTTTTCATTAAAAGAACTCTAAAAGTTTTTTGTTAAATCAATCTACCTCCAGGGTTATTGGGTTATAAAATGAAGGTTAAGCAGGTTATACATGTAAACCAATTAGAACCAGGCCCGGCACCAAGAAAATGCTCATTCATAGTTAGATGTTATCAGTTTGACAAATGGCTTTTCATACAATTGACTTGCAGGCTGCAGTGCCAAGCTCTTGGCCTTGTCTATGTATATGTTTATGTTTTTGAGAGATCGCTGCTTCTTTAATATGTTAGTCCATTGTATTCCTTATTAGAATGCTGTCTCAGTCAACCTGTGAACTCCACCTGTGGGCCTCCTTCCCTTTTAGCGTCTCAGGAAGCCATGCCTGTGGCCACATCGGTCCTTTTAGCATCTGCTTTCCTCAAAAGTGCACACTGGGATACACACTGGGCTCTGCCTAGCAGCCCCATGTCCTGCTCTAGGCAGCTGCACCATCTCTGACTGAACACTGTTCTTATCTAGTACATGGCAGACATTCAGAAACACAGACTTCTTTCATCCACACACTCAAGAGAATGGGGATCAGAGGCAGGATGGCACCTCCTTATGATGTTCTTGACCTTCTGGCAGATGAACTACTCAGCCACACTGTGATGACTAACCACCCAGAGGGCTTGTGGCTGAGTATGACTTGAAAAGAGGCAGCATCTTCTAGGATTCATCTGTTGAACAAGATCAAGTACCTACCTAACTCCTAAATGGTACCACCAAGTCCAAGGTGGAGCCACCCTACCCACTGGGTGAAGGCAGGTGCCCTGGAAATAAGACTGAAGCTACAGGATGACTCTGTACCTAAGACCCAGGATGCCCAGCACTATGGCTGGAAGTCCAAATTCAGGGAGCTGCTCTAGCCACTCTGTCAGCAACAGGGAAACATCCTTGCCCACTTTCAGCTTCACTAGGCCCAGCATTGCTTGGAAATCTCCATGTGTTTAGGCATCAGTGTTGAAGGATCTCCATGTGGTTTGGTATCAGTCTTGGTGGATCTAGAAGCTTCCCAATGCAAGAATTCCACATTCAAAGGATGCACTCCACTCCCAACTTTCAGGGATTGCTCAGAAATATAAAAGTATACAGAGACAAGGGCAAGAGCGCGGCACTGCAGCTTGCAAGTAGATGGTATGAAAAGCCACTAGGCAAACTGACCTTAGTCTTTTTCTCCTTTTATCATTGTAAGATAAAAGATGTTACAGGCCACCCCCCTGGGAAACTCCCTTACATATTGGGTTGTGATGGGATTAAGGGCATTGCAGCCCACTCTTTCCTTTGGTTTATGACATCAGATCACATTCTGAGGAATCATCACATAATTGTCACATGACATCATTGTATAACTGCCAAACCACTGAGAATCATGACCCAGCCAAGTCAACCCATATTTTAGGGGACACATTCAATCATGGCACAACCTTTAAACAAAATACAGATTCTAGAAGGGCCTGCAGCACCTTTCAATGTCTTTGAACTATTTCACAAGTCTACAAGTGGTAGACAATAGATAGTAAAGCAAAGGATTCTTATTCATGCATATGCAAATACATTTTCTCTGCTGGGGGTACAACTGATACTGTCTATTTGTACATTTATTTCAGCATCCCTGAGGCCTGCACATGTGCCTGCTCTTCTGCGTCTCTCCTTTGAACTGGTTTTAACATTTTATTTGTACCCTCCCTAAAGTTAAGTAAAATCTGATAGTACTCCAGAGGAGGATTTGTAATGTGTGAAGAACACTCCCCAGCCTCTAAAATATCTAACAGGCACACGGCATGTCAGAATGTCCACAAAAATCCATATCCATTATCCTTCTGTTCTCCCAGACAAGTCAGAAAGGGCCCCAGGGCTCAAATGCATTCCAGTGAGGGCCACAGACTGCCCAACAGTGCCCAGCAATGAATGGCAGCTTAGGGCACAATCCACATCAACACAGCTCGCTGAGTCCCTAGGCTTTCTTGCAAGGAATGTAAGTATTTGCCATGACTCCTGAGCGGAGCAGCTCACATACCTGTGATCTTTCCTTGCCTGATTTTCTGCACCTTGTAGCGAATGGAGGTCCCCACCATCAGGTAGATATCATACGCTGGGTTCAGTAGGATGTTCTCCAAGATCAACAGCCTGACTTCTGCAGGATGAACATTCTTGACATAACAAAGAGGGTAGAAAAGGCATTATGGGGACGCATTGTTAGCAAGAGAGGCGAAGAGAATTTAAAAACCCTTCAGTATGTTTGTATAGGGATAGGGAAGTGCATTCAAACCTCACACCTTCAGTGCCCAGAAATTCTAAGAGAGCCTTGTATGACAGGCCTGAGGTCAGAAGTCACTTTCTATGTGTATATTACAATTTAAAATAATCATGATTAAAAACAGAGAAAAGAAAGGAGTCCATAGTGACTGCTCTATGGCCAGCAGGGACTTAGTCTCTCTCTTCCCCCACAAAAAAATGTCCCAAGGTCCAGGAGGCCGGAGGGTCCAGGCACAGCTGAACTCGGGTAGAAGGGTGTCCTTGGCCCCTTGTCTACCCACTTCTCATCCCCACCCATGACTTCCTCATGAGGAAAACCTGTGAAAAACTGAAGTGGGAAAAAGACTACTAGTCTAGGCACCCCTATGGGTTATCTGATTCTAGGCGAAACCTCCCATTATCTGCTTTATTCCATTTTGCCGTGAACTTTCAGAAACCCCCTCACACATATTCTCTGGTGGAGGTGCAACTAATTACTGCCCTGTGGATAGTGACCAGGTTTGCACCTATTTATAAATTCATTTCCACATTCCTGATTCCTGTACATATGTCTGCTCTTTGGAATTTCTTTTGAACTGGTTTTAACACTTCACTGGTTCTCTCATGAAATAAGTTAAATGTAGTATTTGACACTTTAAAAAAAAAAAAAGGAACATACTGAGCACCCACCTTGGGTTGGCTCTGTGGCAACTGCCTTCTTGTGCAGCAGGCTCAAACCAAAACCAAGCCAGCTGCCACTGACTTATGGCAACCCCGTGTGTATAGAGTAGAACTGGGCTTCACAGGATTTTCAACTGTGACCTTATAGGTATGGATCTCCAGGTCTTTCTTCCAAGGTGCCTCTGGGAAAGTTTAAACTGCCAGCCTTCCAGTTAGTAGTTGTTAGGCACTTAAACTATCTGTACCACCCAGGGAAGAGAAGGTCAATTACTGACCACAAGTGCCCGGAGCACCAAAAAGCAAACATTAACTACAGAGAACTGTGATTACTCCTGTATGTCACCATGCTTCCAAAATGTTCCAGCAACTACCAAAACAAATGGGAGAGAAAATTAGAAGAGTGTTTCTCTTTCTTGGTTACGCTACAAAATTAAACGGCAGATGAAATGCCACAGCTTCCTCCTATGTGTTCCAGGAACTGCAAACCAAAGGGTTGTCATGTTTGCAGTTCTGAGGAGGCATAGCCAATCCTCTCCAATTACAAGGGGAGCAAGTGTTTGCCCACCAGAGCGAGAGGCACCTGATCATGGCTAACCCACTCATCTGCTCTCCCTGACACTGACTAGGACCAGGTTCTGATGGCCCAGGAGAATGTGGACTTAGGTCTCAGCCTTCCACACATGGGGATGCAGACAGATGGCATTGGAAGACAACTAGGAGCCCCAAGATTTTTTTTCACAGAGCCCCAAATACTTGGGCTTGTCCCTTGACTACAGTCAGAGCACTTGTTGGAGGGAATCTCTCTTCCCTCTTCGCTGCTGTTCTTGCACCTGCCTGGAAACTGAGAAAGGAGCAAGTGCGCTGTGATTCTAGAGATGGTGGGCTCCAGTGCCTAGACCACCACTCTCTGTAAGTTTGCTCAAAAAGAAAAGGCCCAACCAGACAAAAACATGGAAGCACACCTGCCGTTCCCGTTTAATGAACAGTGAGACTCTGACACCTCTGAGTGTGCCCACAGGTGTGAGCAGGAGCAGCCAGCCCAGCCTACTCTGACAAACCCCACCTGGTGTGCCTAGCCTACCTTGTAGACACCCTCCTGAATGCGTGCCTTCAGTTTGGAACTTCCAGTCTTCATGCCAGACACCAGGATAGTGTCCCCTTGCTTGGCCACCTTCTCCATCTCAGTGATATAGGTAGGAGGAATGTATGTTGACTCCAAGAAAGTGAGAATTCTGGAAAAGGAACAGTCAGACATCATTCAAAAGACTTAGCATAGCCAAAGAATCCTTCAACCACTTGTCCATGCAAACCTCCTACCTGATGCCAGGCACACAAATAAAGGGGTGGCCCTCACCAGCACTGCTTATAAAAGGTTCCCTGAAACTTACAAAACAAATTCTTGACACCTGGCCTGGTCTTTGTCTCATGAAGCTAGGACTCTGCATTTCATCAACTGATCCTGACACATGCTGACATTCAAGGACCACTCCAATCTCTATTTCACAGATAGGAAAAGTGAGGCTTATAGAAATGAACAAGCAGGCCAAGGCCACAGATGAGCCAAAGAAGGCCAATTAGTGTCCCCTGTGGCCTAGTTTATGCTCTGGAAGTAATTATTCCCTTGGATGTTAGGTTATGGGAAGAAGGCCTTCTCTTTCTGTTGGCTCTGGGTGAGGTCCTTGTCTTCTTTCACTATCTGTGGACCTGGCATTTCTTGGAGATATCCGTGCATTTTGGCATTGATCTTCCCTGGGGTTTAGAAGGTTCTCAGTATAGGGACCCAGGGTCCAAAGAACTCGCTTTGCTCCTGGTTCTTCTTTCTTGTTGGTAGTGGGTCCCTCTCTGCTCACTTCTGTCCTTTCATTTGTTGTAAGATGAAGGTGATGCAGGTCATAACCCAGGGACACTTCCCTTCCATCAGATCAGTGCTGTGACCTGTGTAAGGAGGTGGCATCCCACCCTAATCCTTTTATGACAACTGATTGACTGATCATATCAAATCAAATCACTGGAGATGAGTGCACCAAAGAGTAAAAAGGGAGTCCACAGAATGGGAAAAAATCTTTTACAATGACATATCAGACAAGGGACTAATTTCTAAAATCTATAGGAAACTAAAATCTATAGGGAAGGAGCTCTGGTAGCATAGTGGTTACGAATCAGGCTGCAAACTTTAAGGTTAGCAGTTTGAAACTACCAGCTGCTCCACGGGAGAAAGATGAGGCTTTCTGCTCCTGTAAAGATTTACATCCTCAGAAACCCTGTACAGGGTCGCTATGGATTGGAACCAACTCGACGGCACTTAACAACAAACAACAACAACAATAGGAAACTACAACACCTCTACAAGAAAAAGACAAATAACCCAACTGAAAAATGGGCACAGGACATGAACAGACACTTCACCAAAGAAGAGATTTGGGCAGTCAAAAAACATATGAAAAAATGTTCATGATCATTAGTCACTGTTGTTGTTGTTAAGTGCCATCGAGTCAATTCCAACCCATAGCGACCCTGTATAGGATTTCCGAGGAGCAGCTGGTATGCAAATAAAAACAACAATGAGATATCATCTCACACCAGCAATACCAATAAAGTTCTAAAAAGGCAGAGGACAATAAATGCCAGCGAGGATGTCGAGAGACTGGGACGCTTCTGCATTGCTGGTGGGAACGCAAAATGGTCCAATCACTCTGGAGAACAGTGTGGCGCTTCCTCAGAAAGTTGGAAATAGAAATACCTTATGATCCAGCAATTCTACTTGGTATTTACCCACAAGAAATATGAGCTATAACATGAGTAGATGTATGTACACCAATGTTCATAGAGGCACTATTCATAATACCAAAAAGATGAAGACAGCTTAAGTGCCAATCAATGGAAGAATAGATAAACACACTTTGGTACATACACACAATTGAATATTATGCTACCTCGAAGAATAACAAGGAAGCTGTGAGCCATCGCATAACATGGATGAACCTTGAGGACACTAGGCTAAGTGAAATTAGTCAGTCACAAACAGACAAATATTGCATAAGACCATTATTATAAAAGCTTAAGAAAGGATACTATACTAAAAGGAAAACAAAACAAACACAGGGGATGATTACATCATTACATAAGCACATTACAACCAAATCACTGAACAGCATGGCCCAGCCAAGTTGACACATATTTTGGGGGATTTCCCTCTTCTCTAGCTGGACACCTGACTCCTCCACAGTTTCTCAGGAACCACACTCAAGGGGCTAGTAGACAACAAAGTCTTCACACCATTGTGTGAGATAAGACCCTTCTTCCTAGAGGGCAGGGGCTTTCTCCAGCATCCTGGGAATCTCCTGGACTCCTGGTGGACTATGAGAGTCCCTGGACCCACTAAGTGCTGAGTGATGTGCCCCTTCATCTTAAGGCAGTGAGGCCAAGCAAAGGCCACTGCTTACCGCAGGGAATTGTGTGAGTCTGAGAATCCATCTGCTTCTGTGTCCTTCACAATGGTCCAGTCAAAGACCAGTCCGGCCAGGGTGCTGAATGTGTTCCCTGTAAAGCAGGTAGGAAGGCAGAAATACATTAGAATCCCTGGAAACAGGAGCTTTTGGACCCTGCAAAATGCCATGCTCAACACCAGCCTTCTGCAAAGTAGGTGTCTGGTCTCCAGTTCAGGCAGAGAAAACTGAGGTTTAAGGGGATGAAGCCCAGCCCAATTTGGTCACTGCCACATGACCTGAGGGCTAAGCCAGGGTTTGGCTGTGTTCTTTCTACTGTACTTCCCATCCTCACACATCCATCTGTTCCTTTGTATTTGAACATGGTAGACTTGCATGTGAACTGTCTCGATAATTTACAGGGCCCTAGAGCAAATGAAAAGATGGGTCCTTTATTCAAAACCAGACTCAGAAACGTTTCAAGAGGAAGATCCAGGGCCCAGGGAGCACTCCCCTTGAGCGTAGGGAGACTCACAGGTGGGTACAGACCAGCATAGGTATTTGGGGACCCTGCCCTGCAACATGCCTGAACTACTGAGGCATACAGGCTGCCAGCTACTGAGTTTTCCTCCTCCAAGCCACTGGAAAACGCTCTGGGAAAGCTGAGCTAGGTATCTACCCTTTCACAGTCCAGAGCAGACAGACAAACCCTAAGGATCCTTAACCTCTGTACTGCCCTTCCTGGTTCTCAGGTACCTAACTGGTCCACCTTTGCTGAGACACAGCCTCTGGTCAGGTGTTCACCAGACATGCCCTGATGCTGCTAGCTCAGGGCAAGGATGGCCACCACTAGCTCCACCCAGGATACTGTGGGGCACATGTGCCCAAACCACCAACTTATAACCCTAACGAGGATGGACAGTGGCAGTGAGGGAGAAGGTCAGGCAGGGCCTGGGGCATCAGGTGGCAGGAAAAGATGATCTCAGGACCATCAAGAAGGAAGAGCATGAGTGGAATGTCAGACCCCTCCCTAGCTAGAAAAGCAGCTACAACAAAGATGGTGGTTATGTGCCTGCGGGCAGGAGGCTGGCTGGCAGAATGTGCCCTTTGGACATTTAAATTAATATACATATTTTTGTTTTGTAAATGTACATCAGATATTTTTGCTGTATTCATTTATAAATATAACATGTAAATGGGGAGCCACAGGGAGGAAGTGGGATAAATGTTACAGGGAGGGGACTGTAATCATTGCGATGAAACAAGTATACGGTTTGTTGAATGTAAAACTGATGATTCTGTCTGTAAACCTTCACCCAATTCACCATAAAAAGCTTTGCTGAAGAGCAAAGATGTAAGCTTGAGGACTAAGGTGCGCCTGACCCAAGCCATGGTATTTTCAATAACTTCATATGGATGCGAAAGCTGGACAGTGAATAAGGAAGATCACAGAACTGATGCCTTTGAATTGTGGTGTAGGAGGAGAATACTAAAAGTGCCATGGACTGCCAAAAGAACCAATAGATCTGTTTTGGAAGAAGTGCAGCCAGAGTGCTCCTTGGAGGCCAAGATGGCTAAAGTTCGTCTCTCATACTTTGTATATATTGTCAGGAGGGAACAGTCGCTGGAGAAGGATATCATGCTTGGTAAGATGGAGGGTCGGAGAAAAAGAGGAAGACCCCCAATGAGATGGATCAGCCAGGTGGCATCATTGATGGATGGGTAGTGTGGCAGCGGTAGTGAGGTTGGCCAAGGATCGGACATTATTTTGTTCTGCTGTGCATGAGGTCACTATGAGTCGGTTCCAACTCGATGGCACCTGACAACAACAAAGAATCCATCTTGACTGAGTTGAATAGTATCCTCGCCTCCAATCCACATCTATCTAGAACATTAGTATGACCTTATTTTAAAATAGGGGGTTTTTTCAGGTGTCATTTAGTTAAGCTGAGGTCATACTAGATTAGGGTGTTCCTGTAAGGAAGTCACATGAAGATACAGACACAGAGAGTAGAATATCACATGATCATGGAGGCAGAGACTAAAATGATATAGCTGCAAGCCAAGGACTGCTGGCAGACGCAAGGAAGGGTCTTCCCTAGAGCCCGAGGGACAGCACGATGCTGCCAACACCCGATTCAGACCTGACACCTGACATTCAGAACTGCAGGAGAATATACATACCTCTGTTGTTTTAAGCTATCTTGTTGGTGGTTCTTTGTTACAGCTGCTCTAGGAAACTAATCCATCCCAGAGCGGCAGCAAGTGTGACTGCATCACACCAAGCCTCCAAAGTCTTGGAATTCACTCACAAACCACTTCAAATACAAAGAATACAAAATCCAACATGGCAGCAGCAGAGCAATAAACCAAGTGTGAACCCTTCTGATCACAAAGCCTGCAGACCGACTTCGGGGTGCCAAAATAAAATCACAGGAGGCCTGCATGACTCATGCACTGTGGTCCCAGTGCATGAGTCACCTCCAGAGGCGAATGCACAAGATAAAAACACCACTTAGTGTAACACCATTTCTAAGACCGACAGTCATATTTGCAGGTTTGGTCATGGTGTCTTCAAAAACACCCTGCATAAAGGTGGATGCTGCTTCCATTTACTAAGTAGTTATCCACACCTGCTCTGGGCCACAGACAGGGCCCTTGACCCTGGAGCCTTGCAGCTAAGTGCTGATACTACCTAGGAATATGAACCAAGAAACCCCAGGGGTACAATCTTCAAAGCATATGCTTTCCCTCTCCTGGACCCGGAAGAGCAGCAGGAAAAAAATTGAGCAATTTTATTTAACAACCATCCGCTGGGTACTTGCTGAACCCAAAGTCCACCAACAAACACAAAAGAGGCCAGAAGAATGGAAAAATGCCTGTTATAGCCTCCAATCACTGAATGTTACAATACAAAGTAGAAAATGCCCTGTGCCCTAGGGGGAGGGCCAGTGAAACACCAAGGGTGTCCAAGAAGGAAGGAACAAACTCCACTTGGGCAATCAGGGGGCACTCCTGGATGAAGCAAAACCTGAAAGCCCAGAAGAGTCAAGGCTTCTGGAAGCAGAGACCAGGAAGAAAAAGATGATCTGGGTAGAATCCAGGGCCAAAGGCCCACAATGCTTATGATCCCACCTATAAGAAACGTCCCTAGTAGGGAAATCTGGAATAGGTTAGTATTTGCCTAGGGCAGGGGAAAAGGGGTGGGGGATGGGAAGTGACTGCTAATGGGTGCAGGGATTCTTTTGGGGCTAATGAAAATGTTCTAAAATTAGATCATAGTGATGGGTGCAAACTAAAATCCCCTAAATTATATACTTTAAACAGCCTAATTTTATAGTTATGTTCATATCAAAAATAATTTTTTCAAAATGACTTAAGTGAAGGCAGAAACACAAATAGAAACCTGCACACTAACGTTTATTGCTACACTGCTCCCAACAGCCAAAATGTAGAAACACACAAAATGGCCATCAACAGATGAGTGAATGAGCAAACTGTGAAGTCGTCACACAATGTAATAGGACATATCCAGAAAAAGGAATGAAAGCCTACTGCATACTACCACATGGATGACCCCTGAAAACATAAGCAAATACTTGACTATAGAAACAAAGATTACTTGTTACCAAAGTTGAAAAAAAGAGAGAGTTTCTGTTTGGGGGCACTCATATGTTAATGGCATTAGAATATTTTAGTAAAGGAAAGCCAGAATAAAGGCATAACATGAAATATGGAATCAATGCCACTGACTTGTACATGTGAAAGTTGTCATACTCGTGAGTGGTTTGGTGTATATTTCTCCAAACAACAACAACAATAAAAGTGAGTTATGATAGAAAACAGAACAGAGTGGCCAAAAGCAGTGGTTGGTAAACTATGGGCACTGGGCCAAATCTGGTCTGTTGCCTGTTTTTATTAATTTTATTAGAACACAGCCTCATCCATTCATTTACACATAGTCTATGGCTGCAAAACTTAAAATATTTCCTTGATATAAACTTCTTTTTATAAGGGGTGAATGGTCGATCTTTCAGTTCCGGAGTGGAGGACCCTGGGATCATCAAGGAAGAAGAGTGGCAACGGAGTGTGGGACCCTACCCAGAGAAGTGGCAATGCCAGAGATGGAGTCAGAGATGACGTCACAGAGAGACGGGGCAGCTGAGGACTCTAGATTCATGGAAGGAGAGGGGATGTGTGCTGGCGGCCGGGCAGGGTGTGCCCTTTGGCTGTTTGAATGATTGTATATTCCTGAGAGTTTTGGTGCATACCCCCAAAAACAAAAACAGAGGGAATAGAAGCAATACTGTTGAATGATGAAGCACGCAGGGAATTGTAATCATTGCAATGAAATGAACTGATGTTCCCCCTTGTAAACTATCACTCAATTTATAATAAAAACTTTAAAAACCCAAAAACTTCTTTTTACATATGTACATACACAAATTCCATTCATTTTGTTTCTCTAGAAGACCTGCTGAAGACACGTGGTACCAGAAGTGGAGTCTAGAGAAACAAAATCACAATGATGAGTTTTCTAAATTGGTTCACAAGTCTAATTCATTTTAAAGGCACTGATCATTCTGACTCCACTAGTAAAGAAGGCTATAGGGTGCAAGCATGTCGAACCTTCTAGGCCTTGGGCATATTTTGAGTTTTGTTCTCTTTCTCCCTCATAGACTCAGAAGAAATTAGCCATGACCCCCACATGGTTTTTGTAGGTGGTCACCAGTAAGCATACTAGATAGCTTGCCAGTTCCCTTAACTTTCAGTCCTCGAAGGGGTTTTTCTCTGATGGGCACAAAGTTTTCTGGCCTTGATGTCTCCAAGACAAACAGCTTGCCTAAAACTCAAAAAGCCAAATGTTCTTGATGCAGGTCTTTCAATCAAGAATCCCCTGTCCTCCTAACAGTTCTGGGTTGGTCTGCATGTCTTTTCAATTGCAAATGTCGCAACTCTGAAGTTTCTGGGCAAATTCTAACTCCTTTTTTAGCAAATCCAATCTAGTATAGGCTGAAGGCAGGCTTATAAGCTCTGTGTTTCCCAATATTCATTTCCATCACACATGCATGTCCTGTTTTATAGTAGGGTGGATCCAGTAGCCCTTGTCCCCTA